GTGGACACACAGACAGACCCGGCGCCAAACCAAATTAACCCTCCTGCTACCCCCGGGTTTCGGACGGGGGGCGTTTTAAAATCGGGCCCCCGGCCTGCCTCTTCCCCCAACGAGGTTGCCTGCCTCTTCCCCCCAACGAGGATGCCTGGCTTCCTCTGCGGGTTAACACAGGATAAAGGAACATGGCGTACGCACTTCTTTTTGTGTTTGTGGTTATGCTCTGCGTGAGTGAGGCGGAAGGCGGTAACATCCGCACTGCGCCAATCGTGACATACCGGTTAATCATCGTGCCACCAGGTATGTAAGAGCCCTACGCCGCAGCGGGAATAGTTTTGGTTGGTTTTTAACCTACATTCTCTACTCGACAGACCTACACAACATCACAGCCGCACCTGGAGACGAAGTGACATTGCCGTGCCACGTTATCATCAATAAGTTCCTGGCGCCTCTTGTTGCTGTATGGTGGATCGGACCCAGCGGGTCAGCATGGGTCTTTTCGTTTCAGAATGGGCGACTTGAACCTCGCGCACCGGGGTTTCAGGATCGTCGGGTGGAGTTCATTGACAGTAAAACCGAGAACATGAGGAATGCATCTTTGGTTCTGAAAAATGTGGCACAAGATGACAGTGGGACATATAAATGTTACAGAGTCCGTGAGGACAGTAACGAAAGACTTCTTGACAGCACTATTCACTTAAGTGTTGACGCAAGTAGACGCGAATCCGGCTCCGGCAGGCCGGTAGCGTCCATGGCGATGATTGTTTTGTTATTGTTACTAGTGTAAGTAACTCATCTCGTTTTTATATTTTGTAAATGTCTTGTTTGGGTGTGTATGTATAATAAAAAATAAGAACAACTGTTTCGGGGTAGCAAGTTTTATTCCACAAACCATACCAAACAGACTACAGACACAACAGCGAAGAGAAATGACATTTTTATTTCCTTTGATACATAAGCATGTAAGCGACCGGGCGGCTTAAGTCCGATCCGTCTGAGCCGTAGGTCGTCTTCACGTGCTCCCAGGCGCCGGGAATAACGAGAGAGTAGT